AGCAATGAGACAGTTTCAAACCAAATTGGTGGGACAGTTTCAATAATTAACACATTGCATACATTCTTCCTAGTGGTTAATTGCTGTACAAGATGCGGACATGATATCCTATTCACAAACACCATTAGAACAATCCCTCTATTCATTAAGAGAATGTAACTATATATCTATCCTAACCATTTTGAATACACAGATACAAAATGGACATTCATCTGTATCCCCTTTTTTGTTTAGTTCTGTCATTTGAATATTATAGGTGTGTTAACTCAACAAAACATTCTAAGAGTCCAGTAGTCCATAATAGTATTGGGGCTTCCACTTGCCTGGCAGTGTCAGAAATTGTTGACCTGAGTCCCCTACAGCTGAACATAACACCATAGCTTTACTTCTTATATTTCGTTTTTATACTTTTCTGCTGAATGGTAAATCATGACTTTAAGCCACTCAATTCTGAATTCTGTGTCAAGCAGTAAGAAATAACAGAAAAGACACCCAAAACTGAAAGTCTTCCTTCCCTGTGATTCAGTCATCAATATCTTCCAGTCTTTCCCTGTCTGTATTTTTTTTCTTCCATAATTTTACTGATAAACAAATAGCGATGAGACAGTTTCAAACCAAATTGGTAGGACAGTTTCAATAATTAACACATTGCATACATTCTTCCTAGTGATCATTTGCTGTACAAGATGCGGACATGATATCCTATTTACAAACTCTATAGAACAAATCCCTCTTTTCATTAAGAGAATGTAACTATATATCTATCCTAACCATCTTGAATATACAAATACAAAATGGACATTCATCTGTATCCCCTTTTTTGTTTAGTTCCATTATTTGAATATTATAGGTGTGTAAACTCAGCAAAATATTCTAAAAGAGTCCAGTAGCTCATAATAGTACTGGGTCTTCCACTTCATTGGCAATGTCAGAAATTGTTGACCTGAGTCCCCTACAGCTCAACATAACAGCATGGCTTTACTTCTTATACTTCATTTTTATACTTTTCTGCTGGATGGTTAAGACCAAGATAAAGCAAGACCTATGCAACAAGAGTTGTAGCTTTTGGGTCTGATAAGGTCAGTGAAATCCCCTTAGGATTTATCCTGAGATCCTGTAGCTCAGATTGTAGATCCTTGTGCTGAATGTTTAACTGTTCAATATTAAGACAGAATTCCTGTAATTCACAAGACCTGGGCTCTAGAGAAGAATTTTATTTCAGACAAAGTTCTAGCAGTGGGTGGCAGAGCACAGCTCTTTGGTTTGTGACACTTTGGGTTGTCATCACAGGACTCAGCAGAGGGCCCAGCCAACATGAACTAGTCTACAGAGAGAAAGCTCGGATAAAGTCAACTGGACAAGGCAAAGACAATACAAGGGGAGGATAAATACTGTAATTAATTACTGCATAAACTCTACCTGCAACCTAGAAAACAATTTGCCCACCTCCTGCCCCCAACTCAGCTGTAACTGGGTCTCAACCTAGATGATTATCACAGAAAGGACATCCGCAAGTCATCAAAGCAAAAAAGTCTGTGTCATATTATATATTTATATATTACACATAAAATAAATAAGACTTATACATACAAATAAATAAATTTAATCAAAGACAACATGGTATAAAGAATCCTGGACCAAGAATCAAGAACTGGGGCCGGGGAGATGGCTCAGTGGAATAAGCGCTTCCCTGGCAAGCGCAGGGGCCTGAGTTCAATCCCTGGTTCCGCCAAATAAATAAATAAATAAATAAATAAATAAATAAGAATCAAGAACCCTGTTTCTGATAATCCAGTTTGTACAATTTACCTGACTTGTGACCTTGGGAATGAATTTTCCTCCTGGGTTTCAGTTTTGACTGATTTAAAACAATGCCTTACTGTTTATTTCCAGGATTCCTTTGATATCTATGACTCCATGACTTTGGGTTTACACTACAGATGACTGACATGACCATCTGTTGTCTTTCTAGACTATTGCTTTCAATGGATGTGGAAGGCCATTCTGATGGGCCACTGCCCTTAAATGAAGCTTCCCATTTAGTGGGCTCAACTGCTGGACCAAAATTGTAGCTTGACACCTTCTGCCCAATTCTGTCACAGGTGTTACAACAGCCTGTGACATTAAAATTTCTCAGGGGAGAAAACTTTGCAAACTGCAGTTTAAAACTGCACTCATAATTGGTCCTTTCTACATACCCCAAACCATCTCCAGCATCTTACATTGCTAATCAAACACTTACTTCGGGAATATCTACTGCAGTTAACTGTGCAGGTTGGCTGCTCAACAGCCAATCCCACTCTTTGTCCCCTGGCCACCCGACCCCACAGTACACAGACTAGAAAATCAAAAGCTTGTTTTCCCAGTCCCCAATCCAGCTGGGGATCACTCAGACACATATTTCTGGCCCATGAAAACTAAGCATAGTTAAAGAGGATTCCAGAAGAAGCTTTCGCTTTCCTGAAAAAGAAGAATCTATGTGGCAGTGAAACATCCTTCCTTCCTTTTTCTTTGCCCTGAAATATTATGTGACAGTGAAGCTACAGCACTCACTTTGTGGCCACATGGAAAAACTAGGATTATCACTACCTTCTCCCTAATATCACTGTGCCATGAAATCCACTTACCTTGAGGAGTTACATAAGAGAAATAACTCCCTATTTAAGATGCGATGCTATAAAGAGGGTTTGCTGTTGTTGCTGCCTGCTTAGTAAGTTATTTTTCAATGAACTTAAAAATGGGAGACTTTTTCGTATTTTAAATCTTTTGGTTGTCATAATGGCTGTGCTTCTGGCCTTTGCTGTCATGGACAGAGAAGTTCTGCACTCTTCAATGAATGGAGCAGTCACCCCTTACACAGCAATGACATGCTGGAACAGAGTATTCAAACCCTTTCTAGTGGTCATATTAAGCGTTTTCGTTTTTTTTTTAAACTAAAATTAACCACATTAGTTAAAAAAGAACATAAAAATGCCCAATGACATGCCTTATTTTTTTTTAAACTCCTCTAGGCAACTGGATAGCTTACCACTGGGTCGTACTCCCAGAGTTGGTTGCCTTTTAGGTGGTGGCACTTGAGCATGGTGACTGGGCCATTAAGTTTGGAAACATCCAAGCAAAGGTCATCTGTTCTAATTTCTTTGTTGGCAGTATAAGAGAAAACCTGGAAAACAAAAATGTACACAATTAAGTTTTACAAGTAAATATCTATAGATGCCTAATAACTTGGCAAGGAAAACCCCAAGTTTTGTTTTTTTTTCTTTCGGAACCGGGGATTGAACTCAGGCCCTAGAGCTTGCCAGGGAAGCACTTATTCTACTGAGCCATCTCCCTCGCGCCCCCAAGTATTTCAAGATACATGACTTTTATACTTTATTTGCCACTTATACTAAGCATCACTCGGGCAGCTGTCATTTCAACCAGCATTCTTGTGCTGAATATATTTTTTCTACTTATTCTGAATATATTTGATAAAATTATCATTTTTATATTTCCTATTATCTTCTAAAAGAGGAATGAAAAATGAAAATGCAAGTTTTGGTCATTATGTATTTAAATAACTGGACTCGTGAAGTGGTTAAAGTAATGGTAATGACTGAGAAACTTACCACTAAATTTACAGAGAAAAGTGAAAATGGCCTTTTCTGTAGATATGATAGTTTGACTACAAAAGGGCAAAATAAATCGTGTGTTCCTTCAGTTTTCATAAGAGGCTTTTCACAAATTTTTTTGTTTAAAAATATCATGAAATTAGCCGGCCATGGCGGCACAGGTCTGTAATTCCAGCACTTAGGAGGCTATGGCAGGAGGATCTCATGAATTCGAGGCCAGCCTGGTCTAAACAGTGAGTTTAAGATCAGCCTGAATTACAAAATGAGATCCTGTCTGGAAAAAAGCAAACAAACAAAAAATGAGATCGAAGCCTTTTTTCACCTAATGATCTTTATTATTTTTGCTGTAAACTGAAAAATATTTCTATCAGATAAAAAAGGCAAAGTAAAACATTTGAAAAGCACCCCTTTTTACTCACCTGATTACCTCCCATACCATGACAATTAAAAATCCCAACTTTTTCATTCTCTTTTCTAGCCATGTTATCTAGACATTGATTTGTTTCCACATTTCGTATCTAGGAGACAATGAAAATAACAGTAAGGAGGTTAACTAGACAGACACACAGATACACACAACACTAAAAATCAATCTAAGTTTTCCTTGTACTACCTTGAAATTATCTTAGATCTTTAGGAAAAGGCTAAAAATTGTGGAAAATCACTAGAATCATAGTTTGGCTATGTAAATTATTTGGCCTACAAAAGCCTTATAAACAACCTACATAATAAGGGTGAAAATTCTTTAAGTTCTTCTTTCATTCTTCCACACTGTTCTCCTAGAATTTGTATTTAATTCAGCTCCTTAAAGGTACTACTAACAATGAAGATAAGGGTATTTATGGCTTGTGACAGCTACTCTGATGACTTCTCAAGGGACTTAAGGTGGGCATTTTCTAGCCAAAGAGCTTGGAACGCAGCTTATGTGGAAACCCAGACGTGGTGTGGTACAAAATTCATTCTTTCATTCAGTATTTGTCAATTACATAAAAGGAACTTAATCATCAGAATTAGGGGGAGTATTTTAAGCAACTCTTATTTTATTTTAAAGAGTAGCAATTCTTCATATTGTTTTCTCAACCATACTATTTATTTATTTTATTTATTTATTTATTTATTTATTTTAGTAAGGGTCTACAGGGTCTCGGTACGTAGATTGGACTCATAGTGATCCTCCTGTTTTTAGCCTCCCAAAGAGCTGGGATTACAGGTGCGTGCCACCACGCCCAGCCTCAGTGCACCCGGGGGAGGGGCCAGCAGGGCACACCAGGGATGGAGCCCTGGCTGCTGCCAGCTGCCTAAATAGGTGCTTTCATCTGCTGAGCTATTTGGCTGGCCCTCAACCACACCAGTTTAAAATTTTGGCAAATTAACAGACAGACATCTGAAAGCCCTAAACCCTCTGCCTGGGGTGGCACTGTTAGCAAATAAGTCAGAGAGAGAGGTATGACAGACTACAGTAGTCATGTCACATGGACAGAAAAATATGCAGTTTTGTGTGATACGTAAAACATAGGTAAAATTAAAACTACAAATGAACCATTTGTTTTGTCTATGTACTCTTCCAACATTTTAATAAAATGCTAAGAAGTCCAGATATACTTTTCTTATAAAGATCTCAGGGAATAAATGTGAAACACGGTCTTACTTCCAGGCAGCCAGGAATAAGAAACTGAGGTTCTTGAATAAGAGGACCAGGTTTAAACTCAAGTGGCTCAAACCCCTTTAGAGTGGTAATGGGAATGCAGGAATAGCCTGAGGACTACCTGCAGGTTACAGAGGGCAGCACAGACAGGCACGCTCCTCAGGGCCCAGCAGACGCAGGCTCAGCAACAGCGGTACTCTGCACTTCACCTTCTTGGGAGGCGCTTCTATCTGGCTATTTCACCAAAACCTCAGACTCAAGTTTGTTCACAACCAGGTCGTCAACACTTTAATAGGAATACTCCCCCATTCCCACATTTTAATGTGTCTCCACCACAAAACTGGAATTACTACTATTCTATTCCTCAAAAGCCTTCCCTGTTCTACTGATATTCTTAATTTATTAGTAATCTCAAATGTCCAATTATTCAAACTGGAAATCCTACTGTCTTTTTTTATTTTTTTGGGTTCTAGATCCAATACAACTTATTGTCCAGTAGTTTTTTAACCACATAATTCATATCATCTTTTTAACCTATTACTTTAATTCAGGAGCCAACTGCTTCATATATTATATGGAAGATTTTATATCTAACTACAAATCTGCATACAACAAATCTTCCTACACCTCAGTGGGTGATCAATACACACTTGTGATGATGACTATCTTGCCTTGAAAAAGGATTTAGTTCATGTTACTATGTGTCCTCGTCTCACATGCACACACACATCATTTATAGATTTGATTTTAAAAAAGGCAAACATCAATCCTCTGTTCACTTTAAGTTTTTCTTCCTAATACAGTGGCACAGATGTAAAGGATGCTGAAAATTGGGCATACATGCTATAAGAACGACTAGCATAGAATCACTGCTACCCCAATTTTCCACTCTGCTGAATGAAATAGCTACTTGGTTATATAAGTGCCCATCTTTTATCAAAACTCAAAAGGAATTTAAAAAAATGTCTAGCCGACAGTGGTACTGTACATCTGTAATCCCAGTACACTAGGAAGCTAAGATAGGAGGATCATAAATTGTAGCCTATCCCAGGAGACTTAGTGATTATTTATATATTATTAAATATTATTTAATATTTACTGTAAGTAATATATTAAGACTTTATTTCAAAATAAAAAATAATGAAAGGTGTATGACTTGTGTATAGGTTTGTGTACAGGCTTTGTTCCCCTAAAGCCTCAGGAAGTCCTGGGGCGCTTTTGGAGTTTGTGATTGGTTACTGTGGGTATGGATGCTGCACCTGCCCTGGGGCAGGTAATTCGTACTACAGTGTAAGGAGGGGAGAGAGGCCTGCTAGCTGCCTGAGCTGCTGCCACTCCGTTGGCTCTCTGCTCTTTACTATGAAGGGGTGCTCTCTGCCCTGTGCCCCTCTGCCTTGGAGCCAGAGGAGTATGGAATGAAACCTCCACTGACTGAACTAAATGAACCTTTCCTTCCTTCGCTTTGGGTGTCAGGTATTTGTCCCTGCGAGAGAAAAGTAATTGAGGCACAAGGGTTGGGGTGTAGCTCAGTGCCAAAGCCTTGGGGTCAATACTCAGTATCACAAAATAAAGCAAATCAAACTACAAACAAACAAAAACCCAAACCAAACCAAGCCAAAAACCCACAAAAAGCACGAACCCCCCACAAAATTCTCCCAAAATGCAATAGGGTTTTATATCATGTTGTATCTTATCATTAACTAACTCTGGCTATTTTGTTTCTGTAAGTGATTTTGCTAATATATTACAGCAAATTAACAGACACTGTTCTAACCAAGATTTGTATATACAGTTTATACCATCCTCACAGCATTCCTCTAATTCTGAGTTGTTTCCTAACATGAGCGATCTGGCCTCTGTCCTTGGGGTCATTCTTGACCACTACAATACTCCACTGCTAGGACACTCCTAGGTTACGCTACCTATTGAAAGTGGAGCCTCTCCAAGGCCTGGACACTTATTGCTTCCTATTAGCAGGAAAGAGTGAAAAACAATCAACCTAATCAGCAAAATATGGTCGTGAGGTGCTGGCCAAAGACCCAGCTTTAGGGTCTGGTGGAGCCAGTGGCACAGTTCCGAAGTGCAAGAAAAGCAGAGTGCCCTGCAGATTATAGTCTTCCAGGAGAGGACAGCAATAATGTTTTTGTTTTTGAGTGTCATTAACACTGGAGGGCAGATGAGCTTATTTTTCTCAGAAAGTATATGGTTTCTGAGAAAAGAAGACGGCTGCTCTACAGGTAGGTTCCTTGACAAACCCAGTGGCTAGAAGATATAACTGGGGGGAATATTATTGTTCTTTACCCTACAGCTGAACTAGTCCACATGTGTTCCTACAAGTGAAATTAAAAATCAGGAGGACTAGGACTGACCTTGTAGTTTTGGTTAAATCCTGATTTTATTGTTTAAGTACATAGATAAATTTATGCCACAAGGGCAGAGGCTATGGATGACTCACTGTTACGGCTGATTCACTGTGTCAATCTGAGTGGTTTAGAAGCTTAACTAAGCAGTTCACCACCCTAAGGTGCAGAGGACATGCCCTAGGGCAGCTGTTTAGGTCCTAGGATGTTGCAGTGGTTGATTCACTGTGTCAATGTGAGAAATTTACAACCTGAAGTAACTCGGCAGGGGGCCAAGGGCCTGCACTTTGTGAACATCCTGAGCCCTTGCAAGAGAAGGGCAAGGAGATGGTTTGAGCCCTGCACACACCATGGGGTGGCATCCTGAATACACTGTAAGGGAGGAAAGGAGGCTTCTCCCCCTTTTTGCTGCTTTTGCTGTTCTCTGCCACCTTAAACTGTTGTCCCTGTGTCATACCACCTTACCTTGGAGCCAGCTGATAATGTACTGAAACCGCCACAAACTGTGAGCTAAGTAAGCTTTTTCCTCCTCCATTTAGGTATTGGGTATTTTGTCTCAGCAATAAGAGAAAAGGAACACAAGCTTTAAGTGCTAGAGAGCCTCAGGGGGACCAGGAGCAAGTCCTTCAGACTTAAGGATTCTCAGGATTTTATAGCCCATCATAAGACATGTGCAGTGTCACGAGCACCTCGTATCTGTGAGGGAATCAAGCCATATTTATTGGCCAGTTTGTAAATCTGTCCCTTCATGTAGTAGATGTCAGCTTCAGCCAAGTGGGGACACTGCAGTGATACGGCTCAAAGCTGGCTGGGACAGGCCCCACCTGGGAGTACCCACACAACCCAAGAGTGCAGTGGTCTAGAAGTCAAGGCTTAAATTTTAACAACAGTTTTGTTCCTTGCGACTCTAGGAAAAAGACAATCATCTTCCAGTTTTGTTCTGGTGAAAGTTACATTTGAAGAGCCTCTGGAAGAGAGAAAAATTAGGACCAAACAAATTTTTGAGGCCTTCTGAATTAGATGTTCACAATTGTAATTTATATAGCTCTAAGGCTATGTATGTAAATAATTACCACCTTGCTAATGAGGTGTGGAAAGCAGAAATGATGGCAATGCACACATTTCAGTATTTGCATTGGGATGGAAACAGTTGCCAAGGCAACCATTCAACATCTGGCATTTTACAGCATCACTTAAAACAATGACGTTTGGAAAATACAGAATGACATAAAACATAGGCATATTAGCATGGGGAAGGAAGAGGAAATATTTGCAAGAATGTAAGGCTAGCTAATAGAAGGATGTTCTAGGCTAATGTCTTCTGTGTTGGACTTCCAGAAAAGTGTTAACCTTCTGACAAATTAGGGGTATTTTGAAGTTCAATATAGGAACAGATGGGCTAATTTATTTCTGGATTTTCCCAGAATTCTGAGCTTTTATCCCATCTTTTGGTATATAGTATATAGTTACCTTCTCCATAGTCTTATACAGTTTATTTCCCTGTCTAATCACA